TATTTGTTTGTTTAATTATTATTATTTTTTGTCTTTTTGAGACAGTCTTCCTGCAGCTCTGGCTGTCTTGGAACCCACTATGTAGACCAGGTAGGCCTTGAACTCACAGAGATCCACCTGCCTCTGTCTCCCAAGTGCTGGGACTACAGGCCTGTGCCACCACAACCGGCTGTTACTTGTATTTTTTATTCAACAATTTTTGAAGGGAGAATTGATGAGCCCTGGAATGTAAAAGTTTTAAGGCTTTTAGTATATTAAATTACACACAAGGACACTTCTAGAGTTGCCTCTGTGTTTTCTAAAAGGCAGAAAAGCATCTGTTGTGTGTGACTAGAACTCAGTTGCCCAGAGAAGCCAAGCTAAGCATGTAGTTAAGGCTTTCACGATGTGGTGGGAAGCAGGTGTTAGTGTGCATGGAGTGTGAGTATGTGGGGACACAAGACACCTGGAGAGTGGGGTTCCATCTTAGACTTCCATTTGGCTAACCTGGGTGGTGGAAGAATGCTGGCCAGTATATCTAGATCTTCACCTTTTTTTGAGAAGGGCTAGGTCCAGCTATTTCTGGTTTTTGGGCTTTTAAGGATTGGTTCAAACTTAAGACAACACTGTATAGGACAAAGAGAACACATCTCTGTGTCTCCAGGCACAGCATTACTTCTAGAAAAGCCATGCTTTTTTTTTTCCCCCCTCAAATGATATTTTGAGATAGAGCATATATATGCTTTTCTTGTATATGTGACAAATTGGAGAAGCCCTATTAGAACGAAATGTTATTTAATCCTCAAATGCACTTAGTTACTTGTTTGAAAAGACAAGCAGGCTGAAAACCATCAAGCATGCTTCTACCAGAACTTGCTTTTCCCTGAGCAGAGGGATCCTAATGCGTATTGATACCCCCAGCCTGAAACACTATAGAAACCACAGTTCTTTTCCAGTTGTGCAGTGCCTTATTACTTAGTGCTCTGAACAGCTTAAATGTGTTAAACGAGTTAAGTCCATTGGAACCATTTCAGTTCAGATTATACTAAGTTGCTGATGAATAACTTATTCCCCTGTATTTATATAGAAAGTATGGGTTTTCATTTTATTCTTTCTTTTTTTCTCCTCAGCCTTATTCACAGTATTGCAACCAGAGTGATAAAACTTGCTCATACTAAATCGAGTGTGGCGTTGGCTCCAGCCCTGGTGGAAACGTACAGTCGTTTATTGGTCTATATGGAAATAGAGTCTTTGGGCATCAAAGGATTTATCAGTAAGACAAAATTTTCTGGTGTTTATAACAGCTAACCCATTCATTAAAGGGTGTTCTTAAGTGCTGGGGATGCAGCAGTGAACAATAGTCATTGCCATCATGAAGCAATACTGTAAGAGGACAGGAAGTAAAGCAAGTAAATGAAAGATGCATGGCCAGAGATGTATGTTAAAGAGAAAACGCAAAAAGGGTGGAAACATGCATTGCTCTCTGTCAGGGGAGGAACGCACATTTTGAAGTAGCATGGTAAGAGAAATGTTTTGGGAGCTCGGAAAAAGTGACAGGATGGTCCTCTCTGTGTAAGCTGACTGTAATTAGAGGCAGCAGTGCTGGCATCAGGTAAATGCCAAGTCTGACGGGTGATAGAGAAGGAGTTTTGTACATTGGATGTTAATATGTCTTTTAGTATTTAGCAGTTCTAAATAGTATGTACTTCCTAATATGAAAGTATTTTCCTGATTCATTTCACCAATACTGTATAAATTTTAACCACAGTAACTCTTCTTCCCAAGTAGTTAAGATGCCAGTCCAGCTTTCTTAGAATAGAAGAAGGAATGAACAAGGACGTTTGTTAGTTTGGGGGTTTGTTTTAGTCTGTAATTTTTGTTTGTTTGGTTTAAGACAGAGTCTTATATAGTCTAGTCCAGGCTGGCCTTTGCTTTGTAGCTGAGGCTGGCCTTGAGCTCTTGATCCTCCTGCCTCTACCTCTCAATTGCTGATTTTACAAGTATAGGATACTGCTGGGTATGGTAGCCCATGCCTTTGATCCCAGCAGTCAGGGAGGCAGAGGCAGGCGGATCTCTGTGAGTTCCAGGCCAGCTAGGGCTACAGGGAGACCCTGTCTCAAAAATATATGATACTATGCCTGGCTTTTTATTTTTTGTAATTAATAAGTGAACATGCCAGTTGCAGTTGTGCGTGCCTGTAGTCCCAGAAGCTCATGTAATTGAGGCAGCAGAATTGCTTAAGAGTTCACAGCCAATCTGGGTGATTGGGGGGGGGGAATTAAATAAATTAAAATACAGACCCACATTAGGAACAGTGATTCTCTGAAAATACTTTTTTAAATGTAGCTGAGAAGTGAGGAAGATTAGAATTTTTTCATATTTCATTTTTCCTTATTAACTTGAGCTTATCAAATTTCAGAAAAGAAAGATTAACTTGGTATTGTATTAAGTTCTGGATTCTGAGTCCCCTCCCCTACAATTAAAGTAGAAAATGTACCTATATTCATTATTTTTAAAATATTTTATTTATTATGTTTATTTTATTTGTATGAGTGTATTGCCTGAATGTATGTGAGTGCACCCATGTCATGCAATGCTGCGGAGGTCAGAAGAGGGCTTCAGATTCCCCTGGAACTAGAGAAGGAAACAGGCATAGAAATGCTAAGTGTCTGCCTGGCAGTAACTAAGAACTGTCAGAGGCAGGATCCAAACACAGGCCACTGGATGTAGATTCTACCAGTACAACCGCTTCTTTTTTTTAACTATTTTATGTGTATGAAGAATTTTGCTTGGGTGTATGTGAATGCACCCATATCATGCAAAACCCATAGAGTCCAGAAGAGGGTATCAGATCCCCTGGAACTGGAGTTAAGGACAGTTTGTAGCCGCCATGTGGGTGCTGGGAATCAAACCTGGGTCCTCTGCAAGAGCAGTCAGTGCTCTTAAACTCTGAGCCAGCCCCAGTATTTGTGTTAAAGTTTTTACATGCATAAAAAGTGTGACGTTCTTCACATATATGCAGATGTATGTCTTTGGTAACTGATGCCTTGGATTGTGTTCCTCCAGGTCAGCTCTTGCCTACTGTCTTCAAGTCTCATGCCTGGGGCATTTTGCACACACTTCTGGAGATGTTCAGCTACCGGATGCACCACATCCAGCCTCATTACCGAGTTCAGCTGCTGAGCCATCTTCATACTTTGGCTGCAGTTGCACAAACAAACCAGAATCAGCTCCATCTTTGGTGAGCACTTACTTGCAGACCACTCGCTTTTCCTTGGATTTATTAGAAACTTGGTTAGAGGCGGGGAACCTTTACCTTATCATACTTTTTAACTTATTTTCCCTAAGACTCTTGTTTCTGAAATATTGTAATTACAATATAGGAGTCCAGTGTTTTAATTGAAATTAATATAGTTGAGTCTTTAGCTTTAGGACCTTTGGACTGAGAATTCATATTTCCAAAGCCTTTGTAATACATTCTAACTTAACTCCTTAGAATACTAGGTTCATATATACCGCATATTATGGTAAAGTATCATTTTGATTTTGTTTTAAATGAAAATATATTTCAGATAGAAAAAAAGCAGTTTGGTGGCAGTGGTGACACGGGGTCTCATGTAGTGTAAACTCACTTTGAATTCAAGTGTAGCAAAAGCAAGACTTGAGCTCCTGATCCTCCAGCCTCTACCACCTAAGTGATAAGCTTACAGGTGTGTGCTGCCATACCCAGTAAAAGTGTACTTATTAAAATGCATAATCTAAGTGAGGTTTTTTTTTTTTTTACTGGCTATAAGCTATATTTTTTCAAATGTGTTCAGATGTCAAATGCTTTCATTCTAAAAATTAGCATCTTAAAGACTTTTAATCAAAGAAAGGAAATGTCTATTTCAGCATAGTGTTTTTACATTTTAATTAGTCATCAGTTGGATTGAACTCCATAATTCTGAACTCATGTGTACAACCTTTTCATGCTTCTTTTGTTTACCTACCTTTCAGTGTTGAGAGCACTGCATTGAGGCTTATCACAGCATTAGGCAGCTCGGAGGTCCAGCCACAGTTTACACGTTTCCTTAGTGATCCCAAAACAGTGCTGTCAGCAGAATCTGAAGAACTGAACCGAGCCTTGATATTGACCTTAGCCAGAGCAACTCACGTCACAGGTACAGTGGGCCATGCAGGCAACATTAACAGATAAAGTACTGTAATTCTGTTGATCATTGTGGGGAGAATGACTAGAGGTACTTTTCATTTGTTCAAGAAAAGCTGGTTGTTTTGGTATCAGTTTAAGATCAGTTATTAATGAAAACTCTTGTGCATGATAGCTCCAACTAGATTGAACCCCAGTTCTTTAGCTAGCTTACATAATTTTAGTTTTTAGTTAGTTTATATATTTTTACAATTTATTTTGATTTTACGTGTGAGGATGTTGCCTGCATGTTAAGCACAACAATGTTGTGAAGTGCCAAAGGAGGCCAAAAGAGGGCACCAAATCATTTGGTATTGGAGTTAAGAGTGTTATGTGGATGCCGGGAACTTGCCTTCAGCAAGAGCAGCCAGTGTTCTTTAACAGCTGAGCCATCGCTCCAGCCCCTAGCTTACATAACTTTGATGTAGTAGTTCTTAAGGGTTTCATGACTGCTTCATTAAAACTTGAAATTCTCTAAGAATTTATGAACTTTTATCTGTACAAAGATAAGTATAGATTCATAATTAAAATGGAGAAGTTTGGGGCTGGAAAGCAATGACTCAATAGTTAAGAACACATGTCGTTCTTACTGAGACCAATATTTGGTTTCTACCACCCATGTCAGGTGACTCACCACCGCCACCTGTAACTCCAGATCCGAGGGATCCAATATCCTCTTCTAGCTTCTGCAAGCACCTGCACTCATGTGCACATACTCCTACACAGAAATCATACTTGAAAATAAAGTAAATATTTTTTGAAAGAACTAAAATGGAGTTTTTAAAAATGTTGATTAATTTAAAAATAATGCAGCATGAACATTAGCATAAGTTACATTTTTATAAAAAAGTATTTTCTGTAGCAAAACTTTAGGAGAAGTGGTGCTGCTGTTTTGAATTTTTTGTGTTACCCTTTATGTCTGTTATAAAGAACATAGGTGGAGTCTCCAGTCTGCTTCTGAGGATATATATCTGCTTAATATGTTAATGTTATTTCAGTTAAAGTAAATGAAGAAAATGTGTCCTTTCACAGATATGTAAATAGGAAAGGAAATAATAATAGGTTTTTCAAATAATGATCACTGTTCTTTGAAATTATATCAAAATTAAATAGTGGTAGTTTCTTAAAGATAAGCTGTAGTATGAAATCCAAATCCTGTCAGTGAACTTTTTCTAGTTTGCTGTATTATAATTAGCCCGATTTTTACATTGAAGTCATTTTTAGCACAGATATACTATGTAACTATGATTTGGTCATTTGGAAAATATTGGTTCACTGGGGTATGTAGTTTAGCAAATGTTGACACATTTCATAATATAGTATGGTTTCAGAAAATATGTGTTAATATCACCATAAATTTCATAAGAAAAGTCTTGGAAAATAGTCACACTAATGATAGTGGAGACAATTTTACTAGTTCTGGTTTTTATCTGAAACAAAGTTTTTATCATTACTAAAAGGTACTGTCATTTGTTTTCAAGTGACATGCTGGCTTTATTGATTTTCAAGAAAATGTCAGCTAAATGTTTATACCTGAGTAATTGCAAAGTTTATTTTATTTTTGTCAAATATTCTTTCACAAAATGGAAATTCATGAAAAACAACGAATTTAACTTGGCACTCAATCACACAAGTGGTCTATCTCAAGACACCCCAGACTTTGTAACATTTTGTGTGTACTTTCCATTCTGCCACATAAAGTATTAAAAATGAGACAAGATATAATAATTTTACAGCTTCCTTCAGCAATATTTTTATTCATTTTTAATTGACATATAAATACTGTACCTACTTACCAGATACTGTGTGACGTTTCCAAACATGCACATTGTACAGTGCTCAAATCAGGGAACATATTTACCTGATCAGGTTTCATCTCTTTGTGATAAAAACATTCAAAGTCTTTTTCTGCTAACTTTTTAAAAAAATAATTGTAAGTGTATTGTACATTAGTAGTGATACTTGTAACTGAAACACGTTTTCCTTGTTGCCGTCATATGCTGTAGAATAGAGTGACCATGAGGGTAGTCTGGCCCCATCCTTGATTGTTCTGAGAGCCAGCTGTTTACCACCATTGCTTTTGAATAGCTTTGAGTTTATGAAATCCTTGAAAAGACCTTAAGACTCAGTACGGTAGCACAGTCCTATAGTCCTAGCACTTGGAGGGCTGAGGCAGGAGGATTGTAAATTTGAGGCTAACCTCAAATAAGTGAGACCCTGTCCCACAAAAACAAAAGGAAAGACGTTGGCTGATTAAGGGATCAACAGACCACATTTTTAGAACTGTTTTAAAAAAGAAAAAAAAAAGATAAGAATTAATTCAATTCCAACTACATTTTAAAATGTAAACTATTATTTGGTATAAGTAAGCATTTCTGACAGAGATTTATACATGTAACATTTAAAACATATATTTGTTCCGATCACCAAAATAAAACATATACTTTCTCAATTCTGTTCTCTTGGCTCAATAAAGAACTCATTAAAAATAAGAGTGGAAAAGATTTAAAATGTCTTTGCACTAAGTACACTCATATTTAAGAAAATCCATGTCACTTCTAATCCTCTTAAAGTAAGAAAATTTAGGTCCTAAATTATCACTCAGTAAGCAGTGATTGTACTGCACTGAAATCCCTCAGTGTACATACTTGGTTTTTGTTTTCATTGTAATATATTTGGTAGTTTGTGTATATGATCATGTATATCTGACTCACATCTGTTTATTTTAGATTTTTTTACAGGCTCTGATTCAATCCAGGGAACTTGGTGTAAAGATATACTTCAGACCATCATGAATTTTACTCCTCATAATTGGGCTTCACATACCCTTAGTTGTTTTCCAGCCCCCCTACAGGTGATTTGGTTTTGAATTAGGTATTGATAAGGTATTGAGTGTATATAAAAATCTTTCTTCCAGTCACCGTGGCTTCCTAAGAAGTCACTAGATTTGGTGACGTCTGAAGAAAATAAATTAGCTTTTATTTCCTTTTTGAAAATACTTGCTTTTACTTCTAAACGTCTCTTGGGTTGCTTCTCATCCTATTTAGAATTGGATATGTTTCTGAAAATTAGTTATTATGGTTTCATTTTCATAGTTAACAATTTTAGAATGTCACAAAAATTAACATATTGCCTCAAAAAATCTTTTATAGCACCAAAATGGAGAGAAATGTACTTTAATGGAGCTTTACAGAGTACATAGATATTAAACTTGACTGTTTTGATTTTTTCACTATTTAGCATAATTATATCTGTGGCCTTATGTTAAAGAGAAAGACAAACTTCATTTATCTTGTACTTTTAGAGAAGATTTAAGGCATAATGGACATTGGTTTTCCTTGACCTCTAACAGGGTGAAGCAGTGATTCTCACACTAACCACATTCATCTGGAAGGCTTGCTGAGCTAATCTCTGAATCCTAATCCCAGAGTTTCTGGTTCAGTAGATCTGGGATAGGGCCTGGGGAGTGACTGACACTCCTGGTCTGCACTACAGTCTGAGAACCACTGGCCTAATGTAGTAGATTTTCCTTATAGTGACACTAAAACATGTAACTGAGGAAGTAGACACATTTTTTTTTCCTCCTTCCATCAAAGATTAGCAAGAAAATGATTGAGGAGACTTTGAATTCTGCTTGCTTGCAATTTCTGTTTGGGAAATCTAGGAAACTACTAGACAAGCCTACGTATTTTCTGGGTATAGAAATTCAGGCCTTAGTTACTGATTTACTCAAGATTAGGTTTTTTTAATGTCAGAACCAAATGTAGAATGGTTCTTAATTGCACATATCCACTACTCTTTTTATTCTGGCCAATGAGATAAACTTTTGGTCTTGTTTTTAGGCATTCTTCAAGCAAAATAATGTACCTCAGGAAAGTCGTTTTAATTTGAAAAAAAATGTCGAAGAGGAGTATAGGAAGTGGAAGTCAATGACGGACGAAAATGAAATCATTACTCAGTTTTCTGTGCAAGGCTTTCCTCCCCTTTTCCTCTGTCTACTCTGGAAAATGCTCTTGGAAACAGATCATATTAGTCAGATTGGCTATCGGTGAGTAAAAAGCCTAGATTTGTAGTCTGTGTGCCAAACAGTAATATCCAAATAAGAATAGAGTTTGGTTTTTTTCACTCTTTCCCTTTTAGAGTATTAGAGAGAATTGGGGCCAGAGCCTTGGTGGCCCACGTTAGAACATTTGCAGATTTCCTGGTATACGAGTTCTCTACATCTGCAGGAGGTCAGCAACTCAATAAATGCATTGAAATTCTTAATGACATGGTATGGAAGTATAACATTGTTACACTGGACAGATTAATTCTCTGCCTGGTAAGAATAAATACATTTTTAAGCCTTCTATCCTCTTTTGAATCAAATTGTGTGAGTGTTAGATCTTGTGCTTATTTCCTGTGTGTGGTTCAAAGAATTTAATGGATTTATACTGTAATCAAGCTTCCTTAAAGAATAAGAAATTTCTGAATTTCTTCATTGAGTGAATATTGAATATCTACTATTGTATTCACAGAAGCTACAGAAGTAAATAAAATATTTTCTGGCCTTGTGATGCTCTGAAATATAAACAGTTAGACTCTGAGTTGATTCTCAGAGGAGGTTCCCGTAGGGACAAGAAATAATAAAAAGTCATTGTATTTATTCTGGAGTGCTAGTTAGTATAACCATCTCTGTTCACTTTGGTAGCCATAATCCTAACTCTTTCTGATGACTACCCAACCCTGCCATCTTACTTTGGCTCCTGGTTTTTAGTGTATTCCAAGCAAAATTTTAAGAAAAGACTGAATCAGATTAGAAAACTATGCATTTTTAAAAATATAGTAGTGGCTGGGTATGGTGATACATGCCTGTAATCCTATCAGAAGCAGGAGAATTGTCACACGTTCAAGACTAGCTTAGTCTATATAGAGAGTTCCAGACCAACCCAGGCACAGTGGTGATATTTGTAGTGGCTTAGTTCATTAACATTGACCTCCTATTTGTGAGACATCAATATAAAGGTAGTTGTAGTTGGGGAACTAATGCAGTTTTTATCAGTGCTCTGATTAGCTTTCTAATGTGGTGCTAAAAACACTGACCAAAACCAACTTGGGGAAGAAAGAGTTTATTCACCTTTGGCTTCAGTTCATCATTGTGGGGAGCCAGGGCAGGAGCTGAAGCACAGACCATGGAGGGCTGCTGCTTACTGACTTTCTCCCTTGGCCTGTGCTCAGCCTGCTTTCTTATATAACCCAGGACCATCTGCCTATGGATGGTACCACCCACAGTGGGCTGGGCCCTCCTGTATCACTCAGCAATTGAGAATGTGCCCCACAGACGTGACCACAGACCAGTCCAACGGAAGGAATTCCTCAGTTGAAGTTCTCTCTAGCCAGGCATGTCAAGTTGACAACTGAAGCTATCCAATATAATCAGCCACAGTTAAATAAAGGATAAGGTAGAGGTGTAGGGAAAATATTGTCATAAAATCTTGAATATCACATCACCCTAGGTGATGGATTGTTGCGGATAGATTTCATTTCAAAAAGTAAAGGTGGACATCTCTAGCAGAATAAATAATGAGCCAAAACTGGCCAGAAAAATTCAGATATGCTTTAGGAATGATGAATAATTGGTTGGGGGCAGATGAGATATTTAAGAAAATTCTAATGACAGTAAAAATTTTATAGTATTAAAATTTAGAGTACCAAGTGGCAGAAGTATACTTTTGTCCAAATTGGACATTTTTACTTAATTTTTCTGTTGTTTTCCAAAGGCCATGCGCAGTCATGAAGGAAATGAAGCCCAGGTTTGTTATTTCATAATTCAGTTGCTGCTACTCAAACCAAATGACTTTAGAAATCGAGTGAGTGACTTTGTGAAGGAAAATTCCCCAGAGCACTGGCTCCAGAATGACTGGCACACCAAGCACATGAACTATCACAAGGTACTAACTTCAGTTAGTAGTTCAGATATCCTTTTAGAGCTGCTCCAGGTGGGTGACTACTTGATTTCTCTGTTTTCTTTGTGGTTTTATTGTTTTCTTTGTAGTTTCTATGGAAGCAAAGAAGTCTAAAATTATGTAATGAACTAAAGAGAAATCAAGACTTCACTTTTAGTAGACATGGTTATTTAGAAAAGGAAGAAAGGTACAGTATAAAGTGATTCCTTGAAGAGGCTGGTGCATAGGTGACTGGGGGAGCTTATGGTTAGCCTGGACCAGGCCCTGGGTTCAAACCCCAGCACCAACAAAATCAAAGATTTCTAGTTTCTTGCTTGCTTGTTTTTGTTTTTGATCTAAACATTTTCAGCCTTATGTAGCTCTTTTAAGAGAATTTTTCAAACATGCGCTAATGTTTTCTATCTCCTCTTCACATCCACAGAAATATCCAGAGAAGCTATATTTTGAAGGGCTGGCAGAACAGGTTGACCCTCCTGTCCCGATTCAGTCCCCCTATCTGCCCATCTATTTTGGAAATGTGTGTCTCCGGTTCCTCCCAGTATTTGATATTGTAATCCACAGATTTCTAGAATTGCTCCCAGTATCCAAATCACTGGAGACTTTACTGGACCATCTAGGAGGCTTATATAAATTTCATGGTGAGCTTTTTCAAATTTTAATACCATCTAATATCTTCATGAACAAAAGTGGGCTGGACATTGTATGTTGTACTGGTGGGTCTGCAGGTTTTATTTTATGTGTGTTTAAAGTGTTTGAGAATCATGCTATGGAATGATGTCATGAAAATTAAGATACACAGCATTAAAAATACAAGTTTTGAGCAGAGTGATTTTACTGTAAACTAAATGGATCTTGGCAGGCTTCTTGGATAGGTTGGATTTGAACTGCGATACATGTGGTTTTTATGAGGAGAGGGGACAAGAGAGTACACTGACCATAAAGGATCATGTGGAACATTGTAATGATAGGGAAAAAACAAGACCTGTTTGAAGAAAAAATGCCGCATTGGATTGAATTGAGAATGTTTACCTGGGAATTTTAAAAATAAGGCTGGAAAAGGAGAACGTACCTGACTGTAAGATCACATTAAATACCAGTTTTGATTTTATTGGAAATTTTTGGGTAAGACCATGGGATGGAAAATTCTTTTAGAAACTGAGGCCAAGTATCATGTGCAGCCTATCTTAGGAGGATGGCTTTTCAGAGACAATATCCAAGCTCCCATATGTGATTAATATTGAAAAAAGACATGTGTACTGGATGAGAAAAGGACAGGCGATCGAGAAAGCAGGAATGGGACTTAGGTGACTGGCTGTTAAGAGATTATTGAAAGAAAATATCAAAGACAACCCTGCAGTCCTGAGATTGAGTACTGCTTAATGGTGCAGTCAGTACTACCCATGTGAAGGTCTTAGAATAGCCACTGTAGGAACAAAGTATATTTGTTCAGTTCTTAGTCCTGATCTAAGACGTCTTTCTGAAAAGCAGAAGAATACAGAATAAGTATAAGGTTCAAGGGAGCATTTCTTAACAAAACTTTTAGATTAGGTAGTATATGAACATAGTACACACTGGGTACACAGTAAAAAGTCCCATTCCTGTCTTCCAGCCAGTCATTCTCTGTAAGCAACCTCTGTTACTAATCTCTTAAGTATCCTTACATACTATGTTTGGGTTTTTCCTTCTTTGTCTGTTTTTATTTTTTTTCTTTTGTTACAAATAAAATGAACACAGAATTCTCTACCATGATTTTTCTGTGTTGTATGTGTTAAAGTTGATCATTTTTATTAGCACATAAAGCCCTGCCTTGTACCTATAATAATTTATCAGTCCTTTTTAATGACTGTGTTAGCTGTCGCTAACCTTTTGTGAGTGGAAACAGGACTACATGTGACCTTTCTTGCTCTGTGTCATTTTTGCATGATAAATTTCCAGAAGTGAAATTGCTTATTCAGAGTATGAACACCCTACAATACGTGTATTATTGGGAATCTTCTGCCTGTTTTGAGATTAAAATAGTCTTTTTATGCAATTGCCCAGCGGGTGAAGTAGTTTGTAATCTGAGCTGTTTCTTGGTAGTACTGAAAGCGTACAGTTTAACCTGTCAGTAATGTGATAAACATTATGGTGACCTATTTTCTTCTTGGCAGATCGACCAGTGACTTATCTGTACAATACTTTGCACTATTATGAAATGTGCCTGAGAAACCGTGACCATCTCAAACGAAAGCTTGTCCATGCAATCATTGGCTCACTCAAAGATAATCGGCCACAGGGCTGGTGTCTCAGTGACACTTACCTGAAGCATGCTATGAATGCCCGCGAGGACAATCCTTGGGTTCCAGAGGACTCCTACTATTGCAAGCTGATTGGTAGACTGGTAGATAATATCCTTTCTTCTGTGATTTCCCCCCCCCCCCCAGTGTTTCCATAAATAACATTATTTCAGTTTATGAGATTTTTTTTTTCTTCTCAGGGTAATATTTTTATATATCTCAAGTCTTCATTTTTTTTTCTTTGAAGAGAAAAAAAGTTTTTTAAAAAGACGTGTTGCTCAGACTGTCCTTGAACACTCTTGACTCAAGCAATCTTCCTGCCTCAGCTTCCCCAGTAACTAGGACTGTAAGTGACATCTTTGCACCCACCTTCAAGTCTTTTGATGATTATTTTTATTTTTACCTCTGTTATGAGTTGGAAATCTTAAATTAGCAACATCATGCCAGACAGGTGGAAATTCTCTCCATTAACATGTAAATTTAATGTAGATTTTATAGACGTTTATTTTAAAGAAGGAAGTCTGTTTTTGATGTTAATATTATATTATAGTACAGATAGCAGTTTGCTACTAGAGAACATTTGTCTTACTGCTTTAAATCCTCAAAAACACATGTAGTGGTACACACTTGAAATCCCAGCACTTGGGGGCAGAGGTGGGAGGATTTCCAAAACTTCAAGACCAGCTTGGTCAGCATAGTTAATTGGAGGCCAACCAGGGCTTCATAGCAAGACCCTGCCTCAATTAATAAATAAATCCTTGAATATAATACTGATGTTAGTAGACAGTGTTAAAACTTTTAGTGAAAAGGCTGTTGTATTGATATTTTTATCTCTTCACTTTGATTTTATGTTTTCAGTTATCAGCAGAGAATGTTTATAGACCATACTAAAGTAGAGAAACCATATAAATTAACATGACTTATTTTCCTAAACAAAGCAATATATTTCCTAAGTAAAAGGGTTACTCATTATAATTTTCATAAAAACTTGTCCTGTGTCTGTGAAAGAAATGGGCTGATGAAGCCTGGGATTTCCCTGGTGGCATTTCCTGCATTCCAGTATCTTAGTTATAAAAGCCCACCTGTAAGACCAACCCCTTGTTCTTTATGAGTGATTGCTATCAGTGTCCTTCAGTCATGTCAAATATACTTGTATTGATTTGTATCATGTGTCCCTTAATCAGTTACTTCTTGACAGCCCATAATCTGATAAATTGATAATCAAATGAGATGCTTACATAGAAAACATGAAATCTGTAAAGCATTCTATATATGTGAGTCATTAATCTCAGAATAATCAAGTTGTTATTGCCTTAACCATTTGCACCAATGGCTGGAAAGTCTCCTGGTCCCTTCCCAAACTGTGACTGGAGATTCAATGAGTTCCCCAACCCTGCAGCCCATGCTCTGCATGTCACTTGTGTGGAACTCATGGCTTTAGCGGTTCCAGGCAAAGATGTTGGGAATGCCCTTCTGAATGTCGTCCTGAAAAGGTCTGTGTTCTTTTTCTTGCAGTAAGAGCCTCTGTTTCTTAAGAGAGTGATACTTTATTGGGGAACCGTTAGACAAGCCTGTGCCCTAAACCATGCTCCCTGCATAGCAACTGTCTTTTGGTTCCTGCTCTCATCTTTGTGATGTAGGTAAAAGGGAGTGATTGCTGGCCAGGTTCAGAAGACCTACATCATCCCCACTGGCACTCTACATCACCTGTTTGATATTTAATTTAGGAATAATGTTAATGTGCACTAACAATCCTCTTTAAAGATCTTCAGGGTCTGGGGCTGTATGTCTAAGTCCCTGGATATAATGATTGGGAAAAAGTATAAATTAGTTGAAATAGACTGGGCATGGTGGTAAACACTTTTAATCCCAGCATGTGAGGCACAGGCAGGTGGGTCTCTGTGAGATCTAGGCCAGCCTGGTCTATCTAGCAAGTTCCAGGACATCTGGGGCTACAGGGAGAACCTCAAAAATGAACAAAAAAATTGAAGCAGTATTTTCAGTCTTACAGCTCTTGTTAAAGGACACCAAAAAAAACCCAAAGGTTTATTTTGTGTATATTAAATTTTTTTCATTAAAAAGTTTGTTCGTTTTTGGAATAGATAGATTGTCAGTTGTCTAAATTACATGTGTTTTCAAAATAAGATCCATCGTCAACCATATAAAATGTCTTTATAAGTTTACATTTGTTTTGTTTTTCCTGTCTGCTTGCAGTCAGCCTTTAGTGCCAAGAGAGAACATTACCGCATGGATGAATGCAATTGGTTTGATCATCACTGCCCTACCAGTGAGTTCATAATTGTAATTTATACTCAGTGAGGAAATACAACTATTTTTGTTGACCAAGAAAAAAAAAAAAAAGAATGGATACAGAATAAGCTTTTAACAGGTCATCATGCAAGCTAATGAAACATTTCTCTTTTTTTTAATTTTATTTATTTTTATTTTATGTATATGCATGTATTGCCTGCCTGCAGGTAAGTGCACCTGTGTCATGCAGTGCCCATGGAGGACAAAAGAGGCTGTCAGATCCCCTGGAACTGGAGTTGCAGACAGTTGTTAGCTGACACGTGGGTGCTGGGATTCAAACCTGGGTCTTCTGTAAGAACAGCCAGTTTTCTTAACTGCTGAGCCATCTCCATCCCAACATCTCATTTTTTAAAGTCTTTCATATCACTACTCTTTTAAAGAAAGTTACAGTGAAGGCTGGGGATATAGCTCAGTTGGTAGAGTGCCTACCTAACATATAGAAGGCCATGGGTTCCATCTCTAATACCATATAAGTTGTGTATGGTGGCACACATCAATAATCCAAGCACTTGAGAGGTAGAGGCAGGAGGATGAAAGGTTCAAAGGTCATCCTTGGCTACATAGTAAGTATGCACACACAATTACATTGACTCTTTTCCCATTCTACTTCCATTCTGAATGTATCTGCTAGATTTACAGATCTCTACACTGTCTGTCCAGCTTTCATTTTTACCTCATAATATGATCTACTTTGTCCACTTAACACGTTCTCTATCCAGAGCCATTCCTCATGGACATTATGCTTGTTGAGAAATGTTTTAGTTCTGGTATGTTAGTAAATAAGATATCACGCCAAAGCTCCTCTTCTTCCATCATCTGCTAGCTCAAGTCCTCCTTCCCTGTCTTCTCCAGCTCATAGGAATTACTGAGGCCATTCCATTGTCCCTTGTATCTTTAAGTAGTATTGATTAGCAGAGTGCTTTCTAAACTTATTTGGATAGTTCTGTGAGTCAGTTTTTTTTTTATTTATATACTTTCACAATATAGTTCCATGCATTTCTTATTTTTACATCTGTACCAATGTTGTCTGTATAGTAAATATTGATAAAGTCAGTTTACCCTGTGATAAATATCAGACACTAAATAAGCATGTATGGAGCCTCTGAACTTACAGTTACATCTCCCCAAGTTAATTTGACCAGTTAGAAAGCTACTCAGCTCTGTTTCAGACTCTCTGTTACAGACAAACTGGATAAATGAAAAACTTAAAAGGATGTGAAAGTGATGGTAGTGTGTAAGCTTTGGGGTCAGACACTGGACGAGTGGAATTTTTTTACCAGACTCCTCTGATTTTAAAGGAGCCATATTGGATTGTCCTTCACGATCGAATTGTGAGTGTTATCAGCAGTTCAAGCCTGACGTCGGAAACAGAGTGGGTCGGCTATCCATTCCGCCTCTTCGACTTCACCGCTTGTCATCAGTCCTACTCAGAGATGAGCTGCAGCTATACACTAGCTCTCGCACATGCTGTGTGGCACCACTCCAGCATCGGGCAGCTTTCCCTCATTCCGAAGTAAGCGTTAGAGTTTCTTAAAGAAATTTGGCTGCTTTCTTAAATCCGATTTACAGGTTAGGCATGTTTCTCATCCATGAGAATTGGCAGTTAAGTGTGTTTTAGATACGTGGACTTCCTGGTTCATCAGAAAACCCCTTATTTCAGAATTGAATTTTAAAATTTTCTTACATATGCAAGATGTAACTGGCATCCCATTTTCCACTGTGGTTTCAGAAGCTTAATCAAATTCATGCTTTTCCCAGAGTTTATCACAGAAATTACCTTTTGAACTGAAAAACTGGAGTCAATCTATTTTCAGATTATTTTTCTTGACCATAAAATTGGTATTACCTAGATTCAAATTTCATAAGCATGGCATTTGCATTAATTCTTTTAAGTAATTCACCTGTCATTTAATAATAGTTGTACTTTAAAAAAAATTTTTTGATTTATTCTTATTTTATGCGTAAGAGTGTTATGTCTGCTTGTATGTAAGTGCACCTGTATTGTGCAGTGCCCTTGGAGGACAGAAGAGAGTGTCACATCCCCTGGAACTGGAGTTAGAGACAGTTATTAGCCATCTTGTGGGTGCTGAGATTCGAACCCCAGTTTTCTGCAACAGCAGCCAGTGCTCCTAACTGCTGAGCCATCTCTCCAGCCCCTGATAGTTGTACTTTTTAAGAATTACTTTTAAGGGGGCTGGAGTGATGACTCAGCAATTAAGAGCATTGGCTATTCTTGCAGAAGACCCAGGTTCCAATCCCAGCACCCACATGGCAGTTAACAACTGTCTGTAACTCCAGTTCCAGGGGATCTGACAGCCTCTTCTATCCTCCACAGGCATTGCATGACACAAGTGCACTTACCTACACACAGGCAATACACTCATACACATATAATAAAAATAATAAATAATTTTAAAAAATACTTTTAAATATGAAGTAATTTATTTCAGTTATCAGTCAAAAAAGGAAGTGGCAGTGAGATATGTAAGGTTAATTAGAAGTATTACCGTTACTGGGATGGGGGGAGCACCACAAATAGTGCCTCCTATGTAAACATAAGAACCCGAGTCCCCAGCACCCACATAAAAAGCCAGTCATGGCTGCTGGCCCCTGTAACACCTGCGCTGTTGGGGACAGGGATAAGAGGGTCACTGGAGCTTGTTGGCTGCCAGCCTAGCTCCAGATTCAGTGACAAAGGAAAGTGATGGAACAGGATACCTGATCTCTTCCTCTGGCCTCCATGTATGCACACTGCAGCCACACTCATGCACATATATGACACATATATACCTCCCCACACATATATACACGTGTACACAAAAAGAAATAGTATTGTTACCAAAACTAAAAGGAACAAATCATAAATTTTGTAAGTCTTTTTAATACTTTTATAAATACTGTATTATCATAAATCCAAAGAATTGAACTGACTTCACAAGAGGTCTGTATTCTTATCTTCAAACTTTAGGTTTCTCACTGAAGTACTTCTTCCTATAGTGAAGACTGAATTCCAGTTGCTTTATGTGTATCATCTTGTAGGACCATTTTTACAAAGATTTCAGCAGGAGAGAACTCGGTGTATGATAGAGGTAAAATATGATCTGATATAATGTAAGTTCTGAAAGATCTATTTCTTGACCATCTTTTTTAAATGAAGGTCACAGCCATTAGTAGTGAAATCAGTTTAGTAGGACTTAATGTTCCTGTAATGAATTTGGTGTTGGGTGTGTTGAACTGGAGATGCAGAGAAGGCCTGTCATCAAGGTTGGAGACAAAGTTAAGGACGCAGAAGTACGTTTGAGAATTTACAGTGTGGAGAAATTAACCAAAATCATGAAACTGGATGAAATCAAGCACTTTATAAAGAAAAACACAGAGAAAGAAAGTGAGCCAGGAATAGAACCTTGAGAAACATTAGCTACCAAATGGAACTAGGAAGATGCAAGCCTAATAAGCATCCTTGGAGTGCATTTATTCCAGAGATAGCACTAGACAGGGGGATCATCTGTCTCCTGATTTTAAGCGAAAAACTAAATTGTGAAGAGAAATTCTAGTTAGGCCATTCTGTAGCAGTGTGATTCCACTATAAACATAGGCAGACTCATGGTTCCTCTGCATAGAGATGCATGACCTGTGACTGCCCCTCACACCTGCCAGCCCCATGTGCTAGTATGGTGGAGCCAGCTGAACAGTCATTCAAATAACCTTCCATTGTCTATTGCATAGATTGGTGTGGCATTTTATGACATGCTGTTGAATGTAGACCAGTGTAGCACCCACTTAAATTACATGGATCCCATCTGTGACTTCCTGTATCACATGAAGTATATGTTTACTGGTGACAGCGTAAAGGAGCAAGTAAGTTAAATTATCTTTTATTGATGTTTGACTTATCAAATTGAAATGCACAGTGATAAACTTTTTCTGTTTGAGTGACTATCTGAGTTGGTGTCTGACCTTTAAGGCCATTATTCTAGATATAGTGGTAAAACAAATAATTGCTTACACTTTTCTCCCTTGATATTTACAACAGAACATCTGAAAAACCCTAAGGGGTTAATTAATAGTACTCTCGTCCGGGAAAAGCAGTGTGGAGTAGCTACTAAAGAGACCCCAGAGGTGATGTGCTCTAAGTGTAGGAGGCCCCACTCTCCCCACTGGTGGAAACACTCTGGACACGGAATAGTTAGTAGCATGGCCAGAAGTCAGGCTAGACTGAGCAAGAGACTGGCTTGAAGAGCATGGGAATTCTTAACCTGAGGGACAAAGTGCTAGGGAATGTTCACATCCCCGCTGTTTGGAGGGCTTCCATCTGGAGTATTAGATTTGCTCTGTGGCCCATAAAACAGCATAAGCATTGTAGTGAAGTTAAAGGGATATGGAACAACTTAGTGTATGAAGACATACTTCCTACTCCAGGTGACTGAAAGCAGGAAAGACCTCTGTGGGTCATACATGTGTTTCATATGTGTAGGGTCAGTCTGAGCTGTTCTAGAGGGGTGGATGAGAGGCACGTAGGGAAAGTACATCGCCTTCCCAATACTTGAATGCTCTTCCCCCCTCTTTTTTTTTGATGGGGGGCATTTTTTTCAAACTTGGCTCTGTTGGTTTCAGGTTTTGGTTTTTGCTTAACTAGCCTATATTAACTATACAAAGTAAGCAGTTTCATTGTAAGTTTCCTTTACCTTCTGAGTGCTAGAACCTGAGGGTTCTTCTCTTGGATCCCGGGCTAGGAAGACATGACTCCTTTCTGCCTTGGGAACATAGAGCAAGTTAACATGTTCCTCCCATCAAAGAATATGTCTCTCTCTGTGTCTCCTTTTGTTAAAATACAAGACATGGGGAGAACTGATCAGTGATTTTTTTTTAAAACAAAAATATATTTTTATATTTGGGCTTAAGAAATTTTGACACAGGAATAAAGAAAAAATACTGTCAAACTGATCTTTCCTCAGATCAAAGAGCATTTGAGTAAAGCTAAAAAATCTGTGAAACTATGGGATACATGTATGTCCTTAAAACATTTTCTGACTGAATTCTAAGTATAAATCAAAATGAAAAAATTGGATTTGTAGATAAATGTTGCAAATGTGAGTTATCCAGACAACTTTAAAATATATCCAAGTTGTTGGATGTTTAAATTTCCAGTGGAAACTATTCTAGTTGATGATAGCAGAATGACCAGTTAACTAAATAAGTGGTAAGTTCTTGTATATGCATATATGTGTATCTATATGCACATATGCACACATGTGTATACCACTACATATATAAAATATGTGCAGGAGGAGAATATGTGTTCTATGTAAGAAGAAAAGAATTTCATCTACTTTTGCATGTATAGGAACTTCCCATCCACCCACATCCCTCTCTAGCATACTGTTTCAGGATACTGTAAGTCATTTCATTAAAGGTGGCAAATATTTTTTATTGTATTCTCATTTCTTAGGTAGAGAAGATTATCTGTAATTTAAAACCAGCTTTAAAGCTCCGCCTTCGATTCATCACACACATTAGCAAGATGGAACCAGCAGTGCCTCCACAAGCCTTAAACAGTGGGTCTCCAGCGCCTCAGTCTAACCAGGTGCCAGCGACCCTGCCAGTGACTCAGTAAAGCCAGAGACACTGATAAGGATCACATCTGCCTGTGAAAGGGACTGGAGTGTCTCCTCAATCTGAACACTGTGTGCTGTTGGGATGTATAGAAGTGACAGCATGTTCATGTTCAGATTGGCTTATTTTGATTCAAATATTGAATCTTTTGACACCTTATAATTCCCTTCTCCCTGTCTGTATTTTTATCTCTACGAGATTAAGAAGCTACCTGTTGTTCACACTCATAACTTTCTTTTAGAGCCTCTCAGGAACACAGAGGCGTCTGTAGTCCAGTGGTTTTTAAACAAACACCCTCAGTCTTTCCCATTTCAGTTGTTTTAATTATGGTGATAAGTGACATCTTTACTTTTTATGTACATTATTTTAAAGACACAACAAATGTAAAATGCTCACTACCCTTTTATACAGAATGTCCTTTGGTGCATCTTCACAATAATAGAGTTATTTTTTTTTCCAAGATTCATATTCATTTTTAACTGGCTGTAAAACTTCATTGTAAATTTCCAAATAAATAATCTAAGGTTTCTACCAGGGCCGACTGGCAGTTTTGTTTTGTTTTTTTAAAACTTTGCTTTGGACTTAACGTATAAAATGAGTTAGAAGTCATGTGAAGAAATAACAACTGAAAATGTATAGATTTGAATAAAGCCGTGCTCAAATTTGATTCCTGGTCTGTTTTTGAAAATAAGTGATTTTTTTAGGTTCATACTCATTTGGCAGGTAATAGGATTCTTCAAATACTGTGAATATTTATAATCTCAAAATTTTTAAATATAGTATACATTTTTGTTTGAGGGTTAGATTTTGAGAAACCTTACTATTTGGGGGGGAAATGGCATTTTGTAAAACTTGAAAACTAGTAAAGTCTGTTGAATAATAAACTGTCTGATTTCTTTGATGATGCAATTTGCCCTTCAAACTTTACTGTCTTTTTATGTATTTATTTATTTATTTTGAAGCAGGGAGGCAGGATCTCCCTGTAGCCCCAGCTGGCCTGGAATTCACTGTGTAGACCAGGGTAGCCTCGATCTCATTGAGATCTGCCTTCCTCTGCCTCCTCAGTGCTGAGATTACAGATGTGCGCCATCACACCCAGCCTAGTGATATAATCTGAATGAACAGCTTGGGCTACATCTGTACTACAGCCGGTGATGGTCCTTGCCTGGGAACTGTGTTACTACTTGTGAGAAACGATGATGATGAATGTAGCCAGCTCTCTTCAGATTCCTCTTACAAAGCATGTCCTTCCTAGACCTTTATTTTTATAGTTTATATTCTTCAGTCAAATCTTTGTCGTGCAAGATCAGCCTAAAATTTTTATATTGGTATCATTAATGTTTCTAGGCTAATATTCTTAAACAGTTCCAGAAACTTGTTTGTAGGAATAATTCCAAATATTATTATTAACATAGTCTCAGTGCATTCCTTGGTGCCACAAGGAATGTATTCTTTACTTTGGGATCCTCCAGTGGGAACAGTTTTGACACTAGTAATATACAGAGTGGACAGAGGAAGTGAAAAGTAGCCTCACCACTTTTTTAAGGTCCTATCCATTCTAATTTGTTAAAACTTCAGTTTTCCCTCTCTAGCTTAAAAAACAAGAATATGATTTTCTCTGGATAGGTTTTTAAAGTTACTAAGCAGGCACATTAATAGAAGACTGAAACTTTTGAGTTTATAGATGAGGGAAGAAAATGGCTTTATATTTATTGTACTTTGTATTTATATCCTGGAGTTTGGGACTGGGGGCTTGTTTGTTTTCAGTTAGTGTGTTCCCTAGGGGTCCTGGTTCCTCCAAGGGGCGGGGCCTGCTGCAGAGAGTTGACTGGAGAGTTAGCCACAGAAGGAGGGGCTTGTGGCACCATCTTGGGATGTGCAATCGGTGGCGGGCCTAGGGAATGTACAGCAGCCGAGCGGAGTACTCAAGAACAGAATGGCCTGGCACTTACAGACCTGGGGCAAGACTGCTGGCCCCTGAGGCATGGGTGAAAGCTAGCAGTAACTGTGGGCATGCTGCGGGAGCTATCTGATATGACAGGCTCTGAGTGACGTGGAACTGAGGTGGAGCTAGGCACTGGGTGTTCGTTTCTTTGTAAGTCACTCCTCTACCCTCCCCATGATAATAATAAATTTACATAAAGATATGTTATATGAGTTCCCTGATAGTGCAAGAGACCCAGAGAGACCTCTGGTGACAAACTGGAGTAGTCCGGCCCAGATAAACCAACCACAGCCTTGGGGATGTGGGTCTGGGAAAGCAGTGCTGTTCCCACTGCCTCTGTGGTGGGTCAGCTGGGCTCTGATTGCCAAATCCAGGAGCAGCTGCTAGGAACCCAGAGGAGAAGGCAATCAAACCCGATATGCTTAATGGGGTTACTGATAGTCACGTGGGTTATACAATGGATTGTAAAATCTGTGACTAAAAAGAGGCCAGCCGCGCAGAAGCATGGGCCACAGCTATGTTGTGAATGTGGGGGTATGTTGTGGGTATGTGAAGATTTATTAAAGGTTATCCAGAGGCTAGAAAATCTTTTACTGGTTCTGGACCCAAATGGAGTGCCCGGAGAGGGAGTGTGGCCACTTTGCATAATGAAAGATGTGCCCCAGGCAGGGGAAGCCGAAAAGGCTAGGGAGGTCCTGACAGACCCAGTTGTAGAGCTTAAGAGAATAAAAAAAAGCGGGACACCTTGACTCCTATAAGGTCCAAGGACTCAGGAAAAGACAGAGAATAGTAAAAAAGAAAATGACCTAAAATAAAAGTAGTTAAGGCTGCCCCTCAGATTCAGCCATTGATACAAAAGGGGGAAAAAAGCTAACAGTGTTGTAGCTAGGCAACCATACTGTTAAAACTAGGAAAAACTTATAAGCAATCAGAGAGCCCCTAGCCATGTGGCTTGTAAGAGTATGGGACATGGAAGCAAATGACGTCAGTCTAAGTCCTTCAGAAGCTTCACAGCTGAGTTATATAACCACCTATCTGTCCTTTCGATATAGGCTGTTCAACCTAGGCCAATGCAGAGGGGAGCAATCTTTAATAGGATGGCTGGTTGAAGGCATTAAAGATACGTGGTTGTCACCAAGGGAGACTAACATGATTAGCAGGGGCTGGAGGACTATAAAGGAGGGGCACGCATTGCTGAGAGAACTAGGTATGAGAAAAGCAATATATGATGTCCAGTTCACTGGGCCAGATAAGACTGTGTTCACCAGAGATATGTAGGAAAGTTTAATTCAACTGGGACCTCAAGAATGGTATGGGGCTTTAATGGTTTTAGTAAGCCCTTTAATGGGACAGGATCTTTGTGAAGTGAGACAGGCTGTAGCAAATCTAAATGATTCTGACCAGCAAGTAAAACGTGTCTGTAAAATAACAGAACATATAAGAGATATAAAAAAGACCAGACTGAAGCAATAGTCCACTTGGGTTACTCGACAAATGTGGCAAGACTTATGTCAAGCCTAAATTCCCAGAGAAAAAATTGACAGAAAACCAAATTCAGTACTAAGGCATTTCTGGAAGGCTTTAAAACCAGAACAGTTTACAAAAGACATTCAAAGGATAAAAACTGTCCCGGGGTGGTTAAGAACCCCCAAGGATTAAATAAGATGCATTTCTCTTCTGATAAAGGCTATACTAGGGGCAAAAGGTGTTCCCACCAAGTTCTCCCCCAGCAACCTGGTGTGGTCAATGGGAAGATGACAGATATGGCTATGTCAGGAGGCAGACCCAGGGCCTGCCTGACTCAGGGAACCAACAAGTGCAGTGGGGACAGGAGAAACCCCCCCGCCTCCTTAGCCCAGGGCAGGGTTAGGCAACTGGAGCCAACACCTGTAAGTGTATCAAAAATTAAAGAATACAAAGAGACTCCATGTAAAATCCCCCAAGTGTGAAATTACTCCAAAGGGATAACTAAAGATGATAAAGAGCTAACCAAATTAATGCCTCATACCCATGCTATGCTACCTAACAAAAATCTATGGAGAAACAGTTAATACAAATGGACAAAACCTTTCCATGCTGTGTGAGACCTTGTCTGTGGTTAATTTGATATATAATGTTAACCTTCCTTCAAGAGCTTTACAGATGTGAAACCCATTTGAAAGATACCTGAAGAAGCAAAGGCCAGCTATAGCTGTAAGATTCATGGGAGTTTTATGATTGGGTAAGAAAGGCAGAGACTCCAAAACTATACAACTGTTAAGAAAATCTACAGTACAGGGGGTGGGTTGCCCCCCTATGCACTGTTGATCAGAGAGATCCTAGAGGTCCTCAAATTCACCAAGGCTATTTCCATTAATGTCAGTTGTACACTAGAGAAGTCGGTAAGGCCATGTTGCTGAAGACACTGCATGTTGTGAGTACAGGAAAAGAAGAAGAGATGGAGCTGAGATTAAGCCAAAAAAACTCCATGCCACTGGATGGATGACGTTCATATTGCCAGAAGGCACTATGCAAATGGTTGGGAAAAAAAGATCCCCTATGATTCTACTCAACAATGGACCCCACGTGCTGCACTCTGTGGACATGCCAAGCAACACCTGTAAGCGCAATAATGACCAACATACGTACAACTGACAAATTTCTAATTGAATAAGGCCCACTCCTAGGGGTGGAACACACATCTGGTGCTGTAGACCAGGCCAACACCTTGTATCAAAAAAGGCTACAGGCCCTAATGGGGAAGCCATCACAAGTACACTGTTTAATGAATATAGTACACCTACTGGGATATCCTCTAGGCCTTTGTATTTACATTCATGTTTCTTTAAATGTGTCTACTTCCTTCCATTTGTCTTTATAGAATAAACACCACTGAGATGGATCAATGGCCATGACTTAAAGACAAATAATGGGGAGGCCCAAGAAGTCACTATCTAGCCACGATACAAGAGAGATCACCGTACATCTGTCGCCCCCTCCAAGGCTCAGGGACCTTAGCGGAAGATTGGCAGAAAGATTGTAAGAGCAGAGGAAAGGGATGGAGTGTGTTCCCCAGGGGTTCTGGTTCCTCCAAGGGGCAGGGCCTGCTGCTGAGAGTTGACTGTGGAGAGTTAGCCACGGAAGGAGGGGCTTGTGGCACCATGTTGGGACTGAAGCTGTGAGCTGCCAGGAACCCGCCAGGAACCGTGGGTGTGAGGAATGCGCAGCAGCTGGGCCTACTCAAGAACAGAATGGCCTGGCACTTACGAACCTGGGGTGAGACCACTGGCCCCTGAGGCGTGGGTGAAAGCTAGTGGTGACTATGGTCATGCTGTGGGAGTGATCTGGTATGGTGGGCTCTGAGTTGTGACACAGAGCTGGGGGGCACAGAGGTAGGCACTGGGTATTCATTTGTTTGTAAGTCACTCCTCCCCCCCATAATAATAATAAATGCACATAAAGATATGTTACATGGTTTGCCTGATAGCGCAAGAGACCCAGAGAGACCTCTGGCAACAGTTAGTGACCATCAGGTGGCTCTGATCAGCACAGCTCTGCAGTGGTGGACATGTCCTGTGCCTCTGCCATGCAGTGCATGAGTTAATAGCTCCATGTGGCCACTGAACATTTGAAATTCAGAACTGAATTTTTATTTCAAAAGCCACAGAGGCAGTAATCAGGCTTAAAATCGGGGGTTAAGTGTGAAAATTCAGGTGGTTGAGCTTCATCAGCATGCATCTGTTAAAGCAATAAAAATCCTTTGATGGAGAAATTTTATTAGAGTTCCCTTCTGATGCTAAGGAAGTTGGGAGGAAAAGACTTCTCTTGTTTTGATGATCATGCTTTTCTTTTTGTGTTTCCTCTTTCTTCACTATATCTCAGAGCCAAGGTAGGTTTTTAGAATGTGTAAAGGTTTTAGCTAATCAGACATCCTATAATTGCAGTGATTAGTGGGTGGGAATTTTCAAAGCCACAGATAATTTTTGGTGAAATCCTAATCATTGTTAGTAGCTCTTGGAAACAAAATGGCAGTTCCAGAATAAATTTGGGGGAATCCCTTCTTCCCTTAAGGCCACCTATATATACTAAAATTATCAACAGTTAACATGCTTTTTTAGAAAAAGCAAAAAATCTAATATCAGTGAACTTATAGATTGCCTAAGCACATGATCATCCAGATGAAGAAAGCAGCCTGAGCTTTAATTGCTTCACCAAGGTCTTAGGGGTGATTATTTCCATGACTTTCAGGAGTCTTTATAGTAGTTTTAAGCAAGATGTACATGTAGTATAATATGTACATGTGTATGTGTGTTGTGTGTACTTAGAAAGATGCAGACCACAGAATCTTGTTATAAAGAGTTTATTACAAAAATCACATTCTTTGAACAACATGGACACATGATGACTCTCCAGGCTGCAAGCCTTTTTTACATTGCTGTGTATTTTAAATGCCAGCTCATGGAAGTTAGTTTATACCTCTTTAAGGATGACTCTCATGCCAAATGAGAAATACATGCTTTCTAATTTCAGAGCTGTTAGAACTGTTACACATCCTGGATTTTCTACCAGGAGGGAGCTGGTAGAATGTATGCTAACTAACTGGAAAGACAGCTTTCTGGAAGAACAAGTCTTTGGGAGAGTAACTGTTGGCTTAAGTAAATTATTGGGTTTGCTAATTATGCCATCAGCTGTGAGATTTTCATGTGATGCTCCCACACTCACTTGGGTGGGTTAAGGTACTCAGTCATAGGATTATGATTACCCTCCCGAGCAACCCCAAAACAAGCCAGGGTTAATGCTACTGCTGTGTTTACTGTTCGAGTCACCTCTTCTGGCGTCTTCCCCAGAGTCGGGTTTACTTCCATGATGTCTAGTCCTGAGAGTAGCCCTACAACAAAAAATGATAATGCAAATGATAAAATAGCAGACTTAAGGTCAGTGTTGACTGACTGCAAAGCTTATCTAGCAGGAAAGAGATGCTAACCCACAGGAAAGATTAGTTAACACAATATATGGTGGGCATTTTATAAGTAGCAACAGGCTTGCTTTTCAGATCAGAGAGACCCAGTGTACACTTGTTCCTTTGTGCCTCTGATTTTTACCTACCTGTCTTGTAAATTTCTTCTGTTATGTAGATACCTTCTCTATAAGATAGACCTCCCACAACAGGTGTACCAGTAGCAGGTGTGATTGATGGGTCCATTCCATCGACGTCAAAGCTCAAGTGAATGGGCCTTCTCTTTCTTTTAAGAAATAAGAAAGAATTTAAGTTTCACTAGTGGTTAATAATTAGTAACCAAGTATAGTTCTTATCCTACTTTATAAAAACAGCTTGCTGGAGTCCTATAGCTTTACTGAGACTTTATTGATAACTTATGTTGATTAGTGTCAGTGGCAAGCCTTTGTTGAACAGGTGCACATGAAAGAGAGCATCATTACCTTCCTAGCAGATAGCTGAATGTCTCTTCCATCACCTTGCCAATTCCCAGTTTGTCCACTTCAGTCATTGAGAAATATTTAATTCCCAGAGATTTTATAATATAGCTATAAAAGAAGAGAGTTAAGTTAACCTATAGTTAATAAGGCTATTCCCTAGTGTTTCCTTTGAGTGAAAAGATTAATGTGACTAAAAAATATAAAGTAAGTCCTATGAACTGTGTTTATATGCACATAATCTTTCTTGTATATTCAGAGTAACTCAAGTTATAAATTGCCTGGATCCATACATGTGTATATAAATGAATATACTTTTATTATGTAGTTATATCTACAATACATGTATATATTGTGACGCTGTTTAAAATAATTTTCTTGGGCTGAAGTGATGGCTCAGCAGTTAAGAGCACACATTGTTCTTGCAGAGGAGTTCAGTTCCTAACACCCACATTGTACAACCCACAACTCTGTAACTCCAGCTCCAAGGGGCTCTGACTCTTTCAACCTCTGCAGATACTGCACTCGTGCACATACATATTTAAAATTAACAAGATCTTTAAAAATAAAGTTTCCTCTTACAAGTTTGACCGGTAAAGCATACCTAGCATAAAAGAGAAAGGAATAAACTTAACTGTTCCCCAGGATCCACATCTCGCAAGCCAATATACACAATATCCTTGGCAGATATACAGGGAGTCAACCAGGAGAATCCAGGTACATCAGGGATCTGAAACAACAGTGTTTCTGTTTAGAACAATGTGTTTCTCTTGAGCAAATCTGCACTTAACGTTAAAGACACTCGATTGCCTATATACATTTAGAGTATAAATTGAGAAGAAATGATTTTAAAATAATGTGAAGTTCAGGAGGGGATACCTGCCTCCCCTTGTGATAGTCTTGATTGCTTTGGCCTTACCAACATCACTGTGTGGCCCAAGCCTACCTGGAACATTTGTGCCCCATTTTTGCTGTCCCCAGATTTCTTTCTAATATCAAAAAGTATGCATGTTTCCATTACTTTAGTAGCCTCCATCTTTATTTCTGTTTTCCAAAAAAGGACTTCATGCAGAATTTTTTTAAGTTTCTAACGAATAGGGAGAGATGTCTTCCTCGTAGGATTTAGCTGGATGCTTCTCACAGTAAAGATAGCCAGACATGGTGGCACATTCCTGACATCTCACTGAGAAGGCAGATGCAGGAGGTTCAAGGCCAACCTGAGCTACCTAGCCAGACCTTGTCTCAAAGAGAAATAACTGTAATCTGCATTTAAAAGTTGCTCTTTCAAATAGTCTCTGTGCTATAGAGGGGGCACATGATTAAAGGGAAAGTTTGTGCCATGTAGTACAGAGATAGGAATGAGCACCTGCTTCTTGCCCTTGCCTTACACTGTCCTTGACATACAATCCTGGGCAAATTGATTACCCCTGAACCTTGTGAAAGGTTACTCTCCCCCACCTTCTGACAAGGGCAGTTTAGGAATCCAATGGAAAGATAATTAACCCTCTGCATCCTTGAATTCTACCAACTATGGATTGAAAATGTAGTTAGACCTGTGTTGGTTTGGTCTGCACTGAAAATGTATAGGCCTTTCCCCATTGTTTTTCCCTAAACAATACAGCTATAACTTGTTATATAACATTAGATATTATAAGTGGGCCAGGGCAGGACTGAAATATATGGGAGGACATGAAGGTTATATGCAAATACTGTGCCATACTGTATGAGGCGCTTGAGCACCTGTAGGCCTTGGTATTGGTGAGGTTATAGAACCAATCTCTCATGGATATAGGGGGAAACTCTATATGAAATCAGTTTGCATATTGTCCAGTAAGAGCCCTACCACCTTCATCAACCAGCCCTTTGCTGATTTACTACAAATTACACCAAGAGTAAATTGGGGAAAGACACTCTCCACTAGCCCTCTACCCCCGGAGCTACTATAGAAAAGCATTCCTTTATAACAGAGCACCAACAAGCCTTTTACCTTTCCTTTTAGTTCCTTCATGAGGAAAGACACAGGTTGCCCATGCAAGTTCCCAGTGGTGGTTGTCAACGGAGTGTTGATATCGGTATGAGCATCTACCCAGATGACAGCGAGGTCAGGGTGGACTTTGGCATGGCCAGCGATGCTCCCAATCGCCATACTTTGGAGAACAAAGTTTGTGTGAATATCAGGTTTGCAATGCCATCACATACATCAGATTGTTAGTTCATTTAATGCACCTGCTTCCTTACAGTCCAAATAGCTTCTGCACAGCCCATAAATATGCTAGTTAAACCACTGTAACAACAGAGAAGATAGAGCTTACACTCAGCACACTTATAAGCTACGGTGACATTGCTAACATTACTTTAAAATGTTTTATCATTTTACTGTTTAAAATTGCCTTATAATAAAATCCCAAATTATAACTTTTCAAAAAAACAAAACACTAGTCACTAAGAATTTTAGCTCGAGATGCATTTCAATTCTCGTCTCTTGCTAAGTATGTAATTCTCTGTAGTTAATTATGACCAAATCCTCCAGTTTTTCTCAAGATGTACCTCTTTTATAACTGGAGAACATCACTGGGAAGTTCCTTTGTCCACTACAGCCAGAGCGTCTCTGGTTAATGCTTAAGTTTTCTGCTTTAACTGCGTACTCTCCTGCCACATAGGTCCCACTCTTAACAATCAAAGTCCATCCTACATACTCCCAGAGCCAAACACTTTTGCCAGAATTGGAGCTTTAGTATCTTGCACAGAAGATAACACTTTAGGATAAACTATGCAATGCCTGTGCTCCTCCACTGTGAACAGTTAAATATCACTCTGAGAATCACAAGCTTCTAGCTTCTCAAAGTGGAAAAATGCACACCTGCAAGTCCAGGCTCAGGCATGACTGTTCATTAGGCTTGATGTTTGCTTTGATTTTAAGTTTCTTGTCTTTTAAGTATTTGCCGCTCTTAACATTTCCAATTGCAATTTTTTCCATTTGAAAACTTCAGGTTTCCTACAGAAGCCCTGGTAAGGGATGTTAGAGAGGAAACTAAGGGCGGTGAAGGAAGGGGCTCTTGCATCAAGAGCTGCAGGGATGTCTAAGCTCCATCCTGTCAGGCCTTTCTGGACACATGATCCCAAAGTGTGAACATTAAAATGGCTCTGGGCACAAAACTGATCTTAGTTTTGGTGAAAATTTGAAAATAAATATCTGGTAATATGGATATATATGTAAATGGATATATATATATATATAATGATGTAATTCCTTGATGAAAAGTTATACAGGAGGAAAAGAAATAATAGTTACATGCATACTGTATAGTAACAGAAGAAAATCTGGGAACCAAATTCTTATCTTTTTGGTTGTGAGCCTGAGCCTTTAATGGCTCAGCCATCTCTAGCCGTACATAAGGAAATTTGTATTTTATACAAAATATGAATACCACACACACATAATTGTTAAACTGATTATGTATTCATGTGTGTTCTCTCAAAAAGCCTAGAATTTTTATAATGGAAAGCACATACTTATTCTTTTTTCCTGTGGTTTTTCCAGGTTTATGGAGAGTAATTTACATATGGCACATTTACTTTTCAGTTACATTGGATTTATAGCTTTACAGCAAAGTACTTGCACACCAGTAATTCTGACATTTAGCTCCAGATAATACTTTGTGAGCACTGTCTTGGAAAGAACATACTTTTAAATTGTTTACCTAAATGAATTGTAGGTGCCAAGTAATCAAGTAGAATGAACTGTGAATTTCCCCAGTGATTAAGTAGCATAAAATATAAGGCTATGGTGAAGATTTGCTGAAATCCATTCATATTTCATATTTTTTTCTGCTGTAATAGATAAAGATACTTTAAGACTTAAGCTGGAGCTAAGTCTATATTGCCATAGTAAATAACCTATAAAAATTTTTTTCTTGGTCTTTTTGAGACAAGGTCTCCCATTAGCCCCCGCTGGCCTGGAACTCACTATGTAGACCAGGCTGGCCTTGAACTCACAGAGATCCACCTGCCTCTGCCTCTGCCTCCCCTGGAGTGCTGGGATTAAAGGCGTGTACCAGCATGCCTGGCCTAAAATGTTTTTTAAAGTCAAAAAATGTATAAAATATCACTGAGTGCTTTCTTGTCTACATTTTCTCTTGTGGGGCAGTCTTGACTATCCTACCTTTGCTACCATTTGTGCCCAACCCCCAAGGATATATCCAGTCCACAGACCTGTGGTCTCCGCCCAGCACCACGCTGACTCTTCCATTCTTCTGGGCCTCTGCCACAACACCAGCCAGCTGCTCATTGGCTTTTCCCACAGTCCTTGGGTTCTTCACAATTTGAAAGGGACTGTCATTAGGGACATCGGCAAAGGACAGGTCCCCATAGTCTTTCACGTCACACTCTGCAATGAGAAGTTTGATGTTACTGCATAGAAACATTACAAATCAGTCTAGAGGGTGATTCCAAATGTGCAGAGTATGTTTTCAGAAGTTTAAGCAAAGTCAGGAAAGACAGTAACCATGGTAAAGGCAGAATCGAATCTGCTTTGCATCTTGATACCACTTTCCCATGCTGTTGCTGTAGACCAGGCCCTCTGTATTTCCTGAATAAATTCATGTGGACTGGACACTGAAATACAGTCATGTATTGTGGTCTTCATCCAGCAGTCTCTCTCTCTCTCTCTCTCTCTCTCTCTCTCTCTCTCTCTCTCTCTCTCTCTCCATACAGAGGCCAGAGGTCGACCTCTGGTGGATGCTGGAGATTCGAGGTCAGGTTGTCAAGGTCCCAAATGAAATTGTGGCAGTACTGTCTAAATTCTCCGGCTCTGTCTCAGCTAGTCTTGCTTCCCGCCCAGCCTGCTTTCTGCTGAAGCAGCCCAGCTTCTTCCTCCCACTGCCAGCCTCACAGTCGTGGTGCGGGAATTCTGTATGTGCTGAGCACTGAGCCTCACAGTTCAGACGGCTCGGGAAATGCAAACTTTATTTATAATTTTTCACATAAAAAATTTGCAGGTAATGCAAAGTTCCAAGGACCTGGGTATGATTTCTATTATGAAAAGTTCTGAAATAAGCTTCAAAATTCGAGAGCTTCCTAGAAGACTATGGTAAGGGATCAGTTTAGTGTTCTGAACTAACTAGTCTTCATTCATAGCAATTATTACAACTGTATGTATGTGTAATTTAGTATCAGCCTCAAGAAATTTCACCTGATGTATGACCAACTTAATGCTACTTAATGGAGGACAGATTCATTTGCTCAAGCTTTCTGTTCTCCAGTGAGTTGAACTCCCTCCCTTTTCCCCTTTTCCTAGCTTTCTTCCATGATCCCACATTCCCTCACCCCTTTCTCATTCTCTTTGCTTCCTTCTAGCTTTACGAGGTGAAATTCTATTTAAACACATTCATTTTAAGTGTACAAGCCAACAAGCTTTGGAAATACCTGCAATCCTGTGACCGCCACCATGTAAAACACTTCCGTTCCTTCTTAATCGCTGTCCCACTCCCAAGAATTGTCAGTTTGCTTTCTTTAATTTTTATTCATTTATTTACTTTTATTTTATGTGCATGAATGTTTTGCCTGCATGTATGTAGGTGCATTACATGACTGTAATATCCACAGAGACCAGACGATGGTGTCAGATCCCCTGGAACTAGAATTATGGACAGTTGTTAGCTGCCATGTGGGTGCTGGGAATGAAACCTGGGTGTTCTGCGAGAGCAGCCAGTGCTCTTAACTGCTGAGCCATCTCTCCAGCCCCTAATTTGCTTTCTTTAGCTACGTTTTTATCTTTCTAGAATTCCACATTGATCCAGTCTTACAGTATGTAGTCTTGTATCTGGCCTCCCACCTGTGTTCTGTAGAGACCCATCAGCATTCTTGTCTCTGCTATGGTCTGGTCTTTCCTTCTATCGAGCACTATCTTATTGCTGGCCATACCACATTTCGTTTTCCTATTCACCATTTGGGGTATTTTATTGTTTCAATCTTTGGAGTACTATAAATATTACTTCTACTCATTCAAGTACAGGTCTTGTATGTTTAAGAAGCTATCAAACTGCTTTCCGAATGGGCTGTTTGATCTCACTTTCATGCTAGAAATACATGAGGGTTCTAGCTACTCCACAACCTCACCAACACTTCATCATACACATTTATGTTCACACACACATACACACACACACACACACACACACACACACACACACTAGATGCTATTGTTGTTTCATTTTATTTCTTTTCACAAAAAATAGGGTCTTGCAGAAGCAGGTGTATTTCTTGCAGCTTTTATTTTCATTTTCAATTTTCCCAAATTCCTTGTCCTCCACCCAACCTCTAGTTCACGTACCCATAGATTTGTTTGTGCAATCGTTTGGCCTGAGTGAGGAAGTGAGAATATTCAACCAACAACGTCTACTGAGCATGCTTCCCAGGCCCTGCTTCTTCAGCAGGACGGGGCTCTGAGGGTGTAGGGTGTAGTGGGTACCACAGTTCTGTTGTATAAATGTCACTCCCGACACACTCCACCTTCTTAGGAGCCCATCCTTCCTTGAAAGTGAGGAGGACATCAGGTGCTGATCATCTTTCAGCTTAAGTGTTACCTTGTTCTTTCAGCTTCTCCACCAGACCAGCGCTCCTCAGTGCCACAGGACCCTTCTCTACTCCTCCTCGTGGCTAAATGACCCAAAAAATAAAGAATCCAGTCATGATTGTGACTATCAGATGCCAACAAGAAAAACTTCCTTCTTGTTTAATGAGTTGAATTAAGCTATCATTTGGAGCTCCTACCGAACCAGATACATTTTCTCACTTAATCTTTACAGTGAAGTGGAGTGAATTGCTTCTACACCAAATAGAAGGAGCTAGAATCACCAAGTTAGATGATTTTCATACTGGCCATCTTTTGACAAGCGACAGAACCTATCTTCCAATAGGTCTTGGATTCCAAAAACTGCATGCCTCTTGTGATCACATCATGCTGTCTACAGAACAAACACATGTTTTGCGCAAGAATACCAAGTGGGCATCAAGTATGGACACTTAGTGACAATTTTTGTACACAAGTTGTTGCTTCAATGCTGATACAAAAACAGGACGCTTCTAATTGAGTCTGAACAGGGTGTGCCATGAATTGCTATCGGAACAGATGATCTTTGAGCTGGGTCTTACAACAGGAGTAGATGATCAGGAAACTGACCGGGTCATGGAGAAGCTTTACACACCAGGGGAGCAGCTTGGGCAGAAAAAAGAGAAAAGAAAAAAGCCATGAACCTAAAGGGCAGTACAGTATGAGTCAAGCAGACACCAGGATGAATAAGAATAATCCTGTAGGGCTGAAAAGGCAGTTCAGTCTGTAAAGTGCTCGCTGCATAATCACGCAAGGAGAAAGGAAAGTATGGCCCAGAGATCTAAGTGCAGGCCACAGAGCAGTAACTTGGGGCTCTAGGAGAGAACACAGGCAACCAGGACAGTCATCACCTAAGAGCTCAAACCACCAGCCCAGTCATTTCAAGTTCTGACCTGTTTAAACTACCATGAGAAATCTCACCCTTGCTGAGGTGATGTTGGGGAAGCTAAAGGGCTTCTGATACACAAAAACCTTTCTCAGTCCCGGCTGGCAGAGGTCTAAAGAAGTAATTCTTTTCTGTATCTTCCTGATCTTAATTTCCAATAGAACTTTAAAATACAGAAAATGAAAAAAAAATTTAAGATACAGAACATAATTTTGGCCAAATGATTGGTTGCAAAAGTCCCATGTATTTATCTCAAGGATTGGGACTTGGCCCTAAACTAATCAAATATTTCCTCTCAGGTTAATTGACAGATGACCTATCCTTGGTGCCAAGTGAATTCTCAATGTCAAATTCCTATCCCTAGCCACACATACGCTGCCATTTTTTTTCTCTTTTGCACCATCTTAAAATTGTTTAAATCTTATTTTGAATTAATATATAATATTAATATATTTACAAGGTATTGCATGATCTCTTGATTCATGAGACAGTAATGCCAACTTAAAGTGGTCGGCACATCCCTCACCTCAATCTTTTATCATTTCTCATAACTCTCTTTTGAGTTATATAGTGAATTATTCCTTACATGCACATGTGCACACGTGTGTGTGTGTGTGTGTGTTCATATGTGTGTGTGTCCAGGCCAGAAGACAACCTCAAGGTGTCATTCCACAGGATCTGTCCTCATCCTTTTTGTGTGATGGGGGTCTCTCACTGGCCTTGAACACATCAAATAGGATAGGCTGGCTGGTCAGTGAAATCTATCCTGTGAAGCTCTAGGATTATAAACAGACATCGCCACACCCAATGGTGGTTTTTGGTTGTTTGTTGTATTTGGAAGGGGTTAGTTTTTTGTTGTTTGTTTGTTTGTTGTTTGAGACCAGGTCTCACTGTATAGACCAGACTAGCCTCGAATTCACAAAGATCCATGCCCAGACACCATGCCTGGACCTAATTTTTTTAAAACATCGGTTTCTGGGGCTCACATTCAAGTGCTCATGGTTATGCAACAAGGACTTTACAGACTGAATTGCTTTTTCAACCCTACAGGATTATTCTTATCATCCTGGGGACTGCTTGGCTCATACTGCCCTTTAGGTTCATGGCTTTTTTCTTTGTCTCATTGTTAGGTGTCGGTCTAAACATTTTTACCTGTGGTGTGCTATATGTTCTGGTGGACAACTGACATGCAGGAGATGGTTAGAATTCACAATTTGATATGATTCCCTAGCCTTTTCCCCTTCTCTTTTTTAGCTGTCAGAACAAATCCCACAGACCTCTCAGTTGACACTGTATTTTTTCTGTTATAAGTTTGTCAGTGATGTTTTGGTTTTTTTTTTTTAATACAGGTTTCATGTAGCCAAGGCTAGCCTCAAATTCACTATGTAGCTGAGAATGACTTTCAACTTCTGATCCTCCTGCCTCTACCTCCCAGGCATTGAGACTGCAGGCCCACACCACTGTGCGGAGCTGAGAATTGACCCAGGGCTTTGCTTCATGCACGCTAGACAAGCACCCTACCAACTGATCCACATCCCCAGCCCCTCACAATGACATTTTCTAGCATTCTTTTTATTTGTTTGATCAACACTGCTTTTGATAATTGGTCTTTTCTCATCGCTTATTTTATCTGCCCACTTTGGAAATTGCTTTGTCAGCATGATTGACTTTTTAAACTTTGTTCTGCTCAGTTCCTCACTGGCCACAAGTAAAAGATTTGTCATAGAGTTGAGCCCTCTGAAGAGCATCAGTGTAGGTCAAGGGTCCAGGCCCTGACATCAAGCAACCTTGCCTGAAACCACACAATCAAACCTCTGTGACCATGAGCAAATTAGCAAACCCCTCTGAGCCTTAATTAACTCAATCTTATAATAAAACAATACCTACATCATTGTCCTATATTGAAGTAAGGGAGGAGATGGAGCTCTTCTCAGATCCAACCTTCTAACCACCTGCCCTCTAATCTCTCTTTTGCCAGTGTGTCAAAATTTTACCTCATTTAGGTAGGGCAACTGCTTATTATTATGTTGGCATCTCTCCCTCTGATGGATGGCTTAGTACAGAAAGTCTGTCTCATTCTTAGTAATCCCAGACAATAAGCCCCAGTGTCATGGCTGTGTTCAATGGGAAGAGAGAATTATGACAATGGAACAATGCATCAGACTACATTTTAACATATGGTCCCCTACTGGGGCTGCCACCATCACCGTTATCTGTCTACCAAGATCCAAGGGCCAGAACCTGTTTTCCTTCCTTCCTTCCCTCCTCCCTCCCTCCCTCCCTCCCTCTCTTCCTTCCTTCCTTCCTTTTTTCATGTTTGCCTCCCTCCTTTCCTTCATTTGTGCCAGTTTTCAATTCTCTCTGTGTTATAAACCGTTTCAAGAATAGGTGAGAGGCTAGAGAGATGGTTCATCAGTTAAGAGCACGTACTGCTCTTCCAGAGTACTCAAGTTTGGTCCCTAGTACTCATGCTGGGCAGCTCACAACCACCTGAAACTCCAGGTTCGGGGAATCTAACACCTTCTGTGGTCTCTGTGGGCACTGCTCTCGTGTGCACATACCCCCACACAGACACACACATAATTAAAAATAAAAATAAAATATTCTATACAAAGAATAAGTATTACCATGAATTTTAAGAATATTTTATTTTTACTTATATGTGTATTTGTGTGTGTGTGTGGATGTGTGTGTGTCTGTGTCTATACACACACATGTGTGGAGGTGCCTTCAGAGCCAGAAGATGGTGTCAGATCCCCTGGAGCTAGAGATACAGGTTGTTGTGAGCCACCCAACAATGGGTGCTGGGAACAGAACTCTGGTCCCCTGAAAGAGCAGCAAAGTACATTTAACCACTGAGCCATCTTTCCAGCTCCCGTATTATGAATTTTAAAAAGCAATACATGTCAGCAAAATGCCCCTGTGTTCTGGGAGAGCTCTTTGGAGGGTTTCCAGGGGGAGGTGAAACAGTATTTACTGACAGACCAAATACAGTTTGGGCCTCCAACCTCTGACCTCTTCCAATCTGTTTTGCAGTAAAAAGCCAGGGCTCAGAGAGAGAGTTGAAATTTAAGAAGGGAAGAGGCTCCCTAATTCTAAAATCCAAGAGAAATACCTCATTTAAAACCAAAACAACATTTGGAGTTACAACACGTATACTGTCTGGTTTGTCTTGGATTTTTTTTTCTTCCTCTTTAAACACAGATCATGTTGAAGTCTAAGGCATTCTGTCATCTCATTATAATTAGCAGAATGAGTGTACCCAAGCAGGGAGAAAAAAAGACAGTCCATTTAGATGTTGCTGACATGTGTTGACTCACACTTAGGTGGTCTAGGCAATCTGGAGATTTATGAATCCATTAGTCCTGACAGGGGTGTCAATCTGCAGTATTTTTTGGTTGTTCTTTGCCCTCAAAGAGAGATGTATAAAGCAGTCTACCTAACGTCTGAACTAATAGTTTTATAGAATCATTAAAGCTCAAAATAACATGAATTCTTCACAGCATTGCATAAAACAATAATATTTAAGGATCCAAATTAAAGCAAGCCACCAACCCATTACATTTTTTCCTTGTGCACTAGTTGTATAACCAAACCAATATGTTTTCTTACAATTCTTCCGCTCCAAACTCAGAAAACATCAAACCAACAAGAGCCACAAAAACTAGCAGAGAAGCTACAATGCAAATATAGGTCATTTCAACCCAGATGAGAATACTTTTGCTTAAGCATAAGTAATGCCTCAGTAGATTCAAATGAAACAGACTCTGGGTGGAATCAGGAGCCACGAGAGTTTAGTGGGTTTAAGACCTTGTATACTTTTACCATGCCACAAAGTGGTAAGAGGACTTGATTCCATGAGCCCAGAGGCCAGATTGTACAGGGAAACTTACAACAAGACAGTAACACCTGGCAAGAGTTAAAACACAGTATCTTCCAATAAATTCCAGTATAAAGCCAGACTTTTACTCACCTGTCCCTTGGACAGAGGCGCTCCGATAATCCCTATGGGTTTTGGTGTGGAGCTCATGCTCTCGAGCACTGCTGTCTGCTGCACCTGAGTTCTCCAGCTGGTCACTACCAGCAGCAACCCTAAAAGACAGAGGACACATCTTTTTCCCCCCTTATAATTGGGTTGGATCTGTTTATTCAACAGCTGACTCCACCTACTGAGTGGAAGAATGACAGAGTCAACAGAAACTTCATAGATGGAATAGCACTGTTTCTCGGAGCCTAGCTAGGTCTCTAGTTAGTGAGCATTATTCAGCTTCCAGATCACACCCTTTCGAAAAAGCCAGCTGGATGACATTAGTCTTTCCTCAGACAATTGACAATTACGTGTGGTTTCATAACCGCATGTGTAACACTAGAGCCCCAGCCTGTGCAGCCCCAGGGCAGGGCACTTACCTTCTCCAGCCTCAGAATCTAATAAGGAGTTGTCTAGTAAGCCTGGTGCTGGGAACACAGGTCTCTTCCATCTGTAGCATCAAGACTTCATTCATTAAGATCAGTGGCTAATCCTTGAGATACATTTCAAACACCATCAGGTAAACTGGTGGGGAAAGCAGCAGATGTTTCTTTTCTTTTTTTTTCTTTTTCTTTTTCTTTTTTTTTTTTTTTTTTTTTTTTGACAGGGTCTTTCTGTTTATTTTGAGGCAGGGGGGTCTCCCTGTAGCCCCAGCTGGCCTAGAACTCGCTATGTAGACCAGGCTGGCCTTGAACTCACAGAGATCTGCCTGCCTCTTCCTTCCAAGTGCTAGGATCAAAGGCATGCACCACCACACCTGACCAAATGTTTCTTTTTTGATTGCTTATGGAAAGACACCAGTTATTTCATTGAAAACCCCAAATCTTTGCATATCTGAAATCTGATGCCCAGGAAAATAACATTTTTTAAAATCATAATATCATAATTAAGAATCATTATCAAGACTGAGAAATAAAAATAACACTGAAGTTTTTGTTGTTGCTGCTCTTGTTTTTGCATTTTTGAGAAAGGGTCTCCCTTTCCGTTTGTCCTGGAGCTCACTGTGTAGACCAGGCTTGCCTCGATCTCACAGAGATCTGCCTGCCTTTGCCTTTGAGTGCTGGGATTAAAGGCACACACCACCACACCCAGCTTACTCTAACACTGAGCTTTTGTCAAGTGCCCATTGCTGTTCGATTTAATATTACTTCATTTAATCTGTACACCAACTTTAAGCTGAGTCTCATTCTTGTTGCTTGTTTTACTGATGCTTGGAGAAGCTTGGGGAAGCTGCCAGTGACATGCATGTTGCAGAAGAATTGAGATTCAGCTTGAGGCATTCTGGTTCCACCTAGCTACTGGGCTTACAGTCTAAACAGCAGCAGAGTGTCAGCTGTTAGCCACCTGTGTCCCCCTGGGGAGTTATTTGTCAATGTGCAAAAGTATGGCTCTAGGGCCAGTGAGATGCCTTGGTAGATAAAGGTTCTTGCCGCCAAGCCCACAACTTGAGTTTGAGTCTCAGAGCCCTCTTGGTAGTAGGAGAGAACCGGCTTCCACATAGGCTTTGTGGCACATGCATGCCTCCCACTAAATAAATTTTTAAAAATATGAATCTAAACGAAATGCATCCAATTATGCTCCCAGCTGAAAAGTTACATGATTATAATTTAAAAGGAAAATTCATATATCAGAAAAAAAGGAAAATTCACATATCAGAACCAAACTCTTTTATCTTATTGAGGAAGAAAACACTGAGGAGAATTTTAATACCACAAAACAGAGTTTCTGTGTACTTTATCTTCAGTGCTTAGAATAGTCTGATATGAGATAAGCACTGAATTTATTGAATGAATAAATATATTACATTTATTGAGTGAATAAATGAGGAAGTCAAAGTCTCTCAGGACTTCTTAATGGCTGTTTTATAACTAGCCTTCCTGTTTACTTATGTTGTGCCCATATATTCTAAATATTATTTATACTTTTAAAAATATTCTATGAGAATTTCATACAATGTTTTTGATCTTATTCAGATCCCCTTCCCTATCTCCACCCCCACCTTTGTACCCCATCCTCTGTTATTATTTTTTAAGGCCTATTGAGCCTACTTTGGGTTCCCCAAATGCCCTTGGGTGTTTTAATACCACAAAACAGAGTTTCCAGGTCCACCCCCTGGAGCCTGGTCAATCTGTCCAGCATCACACCCTTAAAGTAAACTGACTCTCCCTCTCCCAGCAGCTATCAGTTGCCATTAGTTCCTCAGCTAGGTTAGGGGTTTCTTGCCCAACTTCCCCCACCCACTTAATGCTGGGAGTTTTGTCTGGCTTAAGCTTGGTCTTGTGCATGTAGTACAATTGCTGCGAATTCATGTGTGTAACTACCCAGCTGTCTAGAAAACTGTTTCCTTGTGGCCATCCACCACCTATGGCTCTTACAATCTTTCTGTCCCCTCTTCAGCTATGATCCCAAGCCTTGGGAGGAGAGGGTATGGTATAAGTGTCCCATTTAGGGATAAGTATACTGCAGTCTCTTATTCTCTGCACGTTAAATTATTTTTTGAAACGGGATCTCACTATATAGTCCAAGCCAGTCTCGAATTCATGATCCTCCTGCTTCAGCCTTTTGAATCCTGGTATTACCACTTTACATAGCCTAATTTTTAACCTTTGATCATGTTAGCATTGTAAATAACTTTTCTTAATCTGTCAAAAATCTGATAACTTTGTCTATGCTATCAATTCAAAATTCTTCATTTAAAAATAGGCAATTGGATAGTTTTCACATTAAGCCTTTTGCTTTGGGCGTTTTAAGTTCTACCTACCCCCCAAATCACAAGTATACACGTCTATTTTCTCTACTTGATTTAAATTTTATCTCTCCTTTGAGCCTGGTGGTTCTGTCCTGAAATCTCAGCTATTTGGAAAGATGAGGCAGGAGGATCATAGGTTCAAGGCCTGCCTGGGCTACAGAGCTAGTTCAAAATGAGCATGGTCAACTTAAACCTTGTCTAGAAGTAACAGAAAAAAAAAAGATTTCAACTGTTGAGAATACAGCTCAGTGGTAGATTGTTTGCCTTGCATGTGAAAGGTCCTAGGTTCAACCCCTAGTACCACAAATAAAAAGTATATTCTTCACATTTACTTCTTTTTGTATCTGCATCCATCCACACCCATTTTTGTATATTGTTTAAATTTTCCAACTATGTCTTTCCTTTGTCACCCACCAGTCTCCTCAATAGCACCTATTGGACACCTATGTTGCCTGCCATTGATCTGTGTGCTAGCTCCATCATATGCCAAGTTCCCCATCATAAATGGGTGTGTTGCTGTAGTCTCCTCTGGACTACTGACCTGTTTATCTGTGGCTACACCAAACCCATAATGCTTCATTATTATGGCTTTGTGATGTGTATTATAGTTGGACAAAGGTAACAACACTTTTGCTATTCTTTTTCAAAATTGATCTTATATTAGTATTTTTTATATTTAGAATAGTTGTTGAATACATTTTTTAAATCCTGCTGCAATTTTTACTGACTTTATAAATTAATTCATAAAGACTTGCTAACAAATTTTATCACCAGAACTTTTTCTTTGAAAAACTGACATCCTGAAAATCCTTCTTCAGGCAGATAGAGATTGCCTTCTATCATGTGACTCTTTGATCAAAACCCCTTGATAAGGTAGAGCATGTGATTTCTTGGCTGTCCTGTTTTTCTTGGGTCTTTATTGTTTAGGATGAATATCTCCATAAACATCACAAGTTGTTCGTATTTCATGACTCACCAACCTGCTCAGTCCTTTTGAAACCTCTTCTAAGCTTCCCTTTGTCCCCTTTTCGTGGGCCATCCCAGAGCCTAGTGCACACATCCAGGTGGAGACTCTGTCACCTAGTCCATCAAACATAAATTTGGTATTGCTTGCCTTGTCCAGGTCACTGAAAAAAAAACACAAGACAAGGAAGTACTTACATAAGAGCTGTGTCATTTTACCGGAAACTTCAACCCCAAAAGGCCCAGGTCCCTGATCAGTCATCCGTCTGCAGACAGACAGTTGTTGACTAATTCCAACTTGTTTGCAGCATAAGGAAATCCGTCAGATGTCTTATTTCCTAATACAGTCTTGCTGTGCTTTGGCTGCTACCGTTTGTCCTCTACTAGTATGACTTCCTGTCAAAGTTGAACTGATACTGATAGGTCCTCTTGGTGATCTCATTCCAACATCCAATGACCACAACCTTTTTTTCTGTCATAAACATAAACTCTCTTTTCTTTTTATTTAATTTTAAATTTTTTAACATTTGTTTGTTTAGTGTGTATCATGTGTGAGTGTTAGTGCCAGTGCACGTGTGCCATGGTATCCCTGTAGTGGTCAGAGGACAACTTGCAGCGTTTGGCTCTCTCCTTCCACCATATGGGTTCTGAGGATCAGATTCTGGTTGTCAGACTTGGCAGCAAGTACCTTTACCCACGGAGCCATTTCACCAGCCCCCACAAACTATCTTCTCAATTTCCAAAGCTGGCATCTCAGAATTTTTAAAGGAAGAAGACAAGGGCCTCTTGCCTATGTCCTTCTATCAGCGCTCCACTTATCCCAGCCCAGGTCTCTCATTAGTGTAGAGAATATGCATTGGGTTTTAAAATCCCATATTCTAACAATACAGACCACTTAGCAATCAATCTCTCTCTCTCTCTCTCTCTCTCTCTCTCTCTCTCTCTCTCTCTCTCGCCAAGAAAATTACTGGAGCTCTCTCGCTCTCTCGCTCTCTAGCTCTCTCTCTCTCTCAAACTGGGTATTTAAAACAGCATAAAATTGATTAAGTCTGACAGTGAGAATGATAAAATCAAGACATTGGCAGAGATGTCTCCTCTAAACTGTGTAGAGGAGTCCTTTGCGTATTCCCAGTTCTTGGTGGCTTTCTGGCAATCTTAGGTGCTGTTCAGGTTACAGATTCATTGTTCTAATTCCCCATCTTCACTGCCTTCTCTCAGCATCACTGAGTTTCTACCTTGTCATCTTACAAGGACACCAATCAGAATGTATTTTAAATAATAAACAGGTTGGTTTTTTTTAAAAGATGTCTGCCAGGCTGGAGAGATGGCTTAGCCACTAGGAGCACCTGCTGA